AATCTATGGGACGACACATGTTAAGCGTAAATAAACCACTGAATCGAATGCTTCAAGATGGCAACGTTTATCAAACTACCAACTCAACTACTTATAAATAAATTGTCAGACTCGGGGATTACTCACATGATATGGGCGGTTCTAAAGCATCTACTATGGTTGAACGTAAAGATCGTCACCATCTCCCAAAACGTAAAGTAGGACTAACCAACCTATGGTACATCCTGCTTTTTCGACCAGGTTGAATTCGCGACGGCCTAAAAAGGTGATATTAGCCTATCTGGCTCTCATCATACCGAAATTGATTTCATTTGCTGCTATGCCAAAACCAGCATTCAGATAATTACACGGTTATACAAAGCTCTTGAATACGTGTCTTCAAATACATCCAATGATATAAAATTATTTTACTATCATCACTTGTTGCCTCAGTAGTATCTTTTATTTCATAAAAAATTTTCCACTGAACTTTTATGAGCGACGTTTCCACTTGTGCTTGTTTTTCAGAACTATTCCTCCTTGTTTGAAGAAACTGGCGAGGGCTTTGGAGATAAGACATTAGAAGATAAATTCTTTGAATATGAAGTAAGATATGTTCATTTATATCGGTTTTCCTTGTTTCCTTCTCGCAGTTTATTTAGCTTAGGCATATTTTAGTCTGTATAGCAAGAAGGAATAAACTGAGTTGTGTCCCCTAATTTTCCACTCTAGAATATTCACATATCTAAACAGGTTCATTTATGGGACTGAGGTTACATGTAATTACCCCCATAATTGTATGTTTCTTATATTAACTGTGCATGAACGATAATTCAGAAGACATATATCGAAATAGTAGAAAATTAGTTACCATTTTGTATTCACAATTCGTTATTATCTCAGCTGTTTTAAATAATTCATAAATCAGAATGTAGAACTTCAGCTGCGCAACTAGAAATAGATGGGTATGTTTTGTTTCCCTACAGTAGGCTGTTCCTTTAAACGCTCCAAGCACCGAAGCACAATCACCAATTAATCTCGAAAATAACTACAAGAAATTCACTCGCAGAAATATTCTAGTAGACGTATGTAACATCCTTCTTGTGTTTGTATTTCATAGCTAAAAGAGGTCTATGCTTTAGAATTGAAATTTATTCAGTACATTTTTGATGCCACCAAAGGAAATAATATTGTGTATTAATTATCATTTCGAAAAAGTTAAATACAAGAAATCGAAGCAGTATATCTTTTATAGGGAAAATTACAGAATAATCATCTAGTGTGCTATTGGTTTTATTTTTCACAGCAAGCATTGTCTTGTGAGGAAAACGTTAATGAGAACTCCCATCCTCCAAAGCTGTAAGACCAGGTCATACGTGGACAATAATAATTATTATTATATATATAGGGAGAGAGAGAGAAGTTACTCATCAACCAATTGGATTATCGGAAAATGTTCAGTGTCATCAACATGGTCTAGGATTTTCCTTCTAACAGATGGAAACAAAATTGGATGTAACGTTTGTGTATGAGTCCATTAATGGCACCTCAAGTTGTGGTAAAGGACAACTAAATTGACAAAAACCTTTCTACTATTTTATGCAGCTGATCTGGCTAAATTATCAAACCAACAAACTTTCACACGACTTTACAAACTTAAAGTTCAATTTTTTTCTGTTTACTAATTTGTTTAGTAACAAAATTTCCTAATTAACTAATCCATTTTAGGTCCAATTGAATGTAGATGCCTTCTTACAGCAGTTTCATTATGGTATATTCTATGCCCTTCTTAAATTAAAGGAACAAGAAATGAGAAACATTGTTTGGATTGCGGAATGCGTTTCTCAACGTCATCGTACCAAAATTGACTCTTATATCAATATTTTATGACATGAATATGATGTTTTGTTGGAAAACTATTCCACGCTTAAAATGCGTTCTAAGCATAATGTTTTTGACTATTATATCTTACTTTGGATTTATTTATAATTTAAACTCGTTAAAAATTTACATAAATTATTTTTTCTGTATGATTAATTCCAAGTGATTATCAAAACGTTTAAGTCGTCTGAATCATTAATATCAATTTTGAGATTTCCTTTCGCAACTATCATTTTACTTGGATACTTTCATTCTTTCTCCTAACACCTGGTTCTTTGTTAATGTTGTGTTGGAATGTCAATAAGCTATGTTGCAGTTCTCTGAATTTTGCTTAACTAGGTTTGTACTTTAAGTGTCACACTAGTTGTTAGTGACGTGAATTCATTATATTAACTTCTAGTACAGTAAACACCTAGTTTTTAAACTAAGATTTTTTCACATGTATTTCCATTAATTATTGAGTTTCAGTTTTTATGTGAAGAAAGTCTCTGTTTCTGTTTGTCAATACCTGAGATGTAACTCGACGGAAGCAGGTCAATATCATCATGAGTAATGTCTGCTTCTTGATGGGAAATCAAGATATTTCATCGTTGCTTAACAATAAATTTGTGTTTTGTCAATAACCACAGAATTCCTAACGCCTTCTAAGGGAATACTTCTCTAGAAAACGAAGGAATCCCTGATATATTTTAGAAATTAGTTTCAAGATAATGTACTGTTGGTTCAACGTCACTGGCATTTGGTTGCCAAATTAGTTACACCACAAACGATCTTGGTGAATCACGTATACATCTCAGACGCTCACCATTTTATTACAATTTTACTCATTTCTCATTACTTCCCAATCACAAGTAGGATATGCAAAACGCAATGCAGAGGTTTGGAGTTTGTTTTACTTCTGAATAGTTTTATCAATTTGTCTTTTTATACCTCGTCGAAATTTAAGGTGTAACACAACTAAACGTGTTCTGAAATCTCTGAATTTAAAATGTTCCACGGCATCAGTGATCTAGGAAGCAGCAAGTTTCACTCTTTTGGCATTTGAAAAAGTGAGAATTACGTCGACCACAGACGTGTGCTATGTATTTGATAAGAACGGTAAATACTTAGATATTTCAAGTCCAAGTGACCTTGACCGGACACTTGAAATTTGTAACATTTTATTTGTTTGTGGTAAAAGGCCTTTTGCCATATAGCCGTTTGATAAATTGACCAGGTTTCAATTAACTAAATATTGTGTTAATCTGAATTATTCATTAAGATATCGAGAATAAGTATTTCATATACATGTGTTGAATAATCATTCCATTTGGTTTTATATATATATATATAGTCGTATAATTTCTATGTATATCCATATCCCTTTATATACTACTTATGCCGATATAAGTATCACACCACAGAATGTCTATGTTCTTACGTACCAACTTGGATGAAAAAACAAACAAATTGTAGGATCAAACCTCTTTATTGATATTCATACATATCTTTTGAGTATACCATTACGATACTCATAGCTGGAAGTTCCTGTGGATGTTAATAAATCAAACCGTAGTATCAGGGCAGCCACTTCATGTTTTTCTCGACGATTGTGAAGAGGTGGTCTGTTACGCAACACGAACACCTACACGCTCTGAATGCAATTTCAAAAGAATTGAAGTCTCCTGGTTTTTGGCGACTAACAAGTTCCAACTGCTTACACTACTTCCTGGCCATAAGCCTATTTGTTAATTTTAGAATTTAAGAAAAGCTTTCCAGTTTGTGCAGCTAGTCGTCTCGAAAAATGGTTAATTAATGTACTGGACTCTGATTTTCGAAACAAGTATAGATGCATTTCTCATGTCCTAGTGCTGAAATTAATCGCCTGTGGAAGCTTACATTGCCCAAATATTGAGGATATTGTGAAGAGAAGTTATCGAAATCATCCATAAAAGTAAAGCTACAGATATGGCCAGTACTAGTGTAATGAACAAAGACTCAGGTAGAGTAAATCAACATACTATATTAAGTAAAACCACACACCGCATCTGTAAGATATGACGACAATACACTGAATACATCATTTGCACATCTTCCTTGAGTTGTATCTTACAAGCCTAATCGTTCTTCAATTGCTGTTGCTACTCGCACTGCTTTTGTCTTTTCTTCTCTTATGTTTTTCCTGTCAAAAAGAATCCTACCCCGAGTTCTTAGTACATACATCTGTCTGTGTAGGGAGTACATATCACATGAACAGAACCTTCGGTGTTTACACAAACTTTAATGGGCCACTTCATAGGAACGTTGAACAAGCAACTATCGTAACATCACACTACAAAGATCTCCATCTATTGTTTCGGACAATCAAACGGTCTACTTTTAGTCGGTTAAACTTCTGGAAAAACGTCAAATATGTCAGGCCCTCAAAATAACGGATATTCAGAAGATGAAGGAACAATAAGAGAAATATTTAAAGTTATCAATCAATTCGAAAACCTACAACCTAATACAGAAAACAAGAAACCATGGGTAAGTAAACGGTTATGTCCAAACTGAATCTTCCAAAACGGTAAAAGTCTGGGTATGAATCTTCCAAAGTTCAATTACACAAAATATCCGTAGGACAATAGCCAGGAAACGGAGTGTTCAAACTACCCAGTCAAAAAATATAAGAAACTTGGCAAAATACTGATACAAGAACCAGCAGGCAAAATAGCAATCCGACAAGATCTTAGTAAGCAAACATACAGCTAACCAGGGTTCGGATGAGCACGCAAAAGAATGACGGTTACCCACCCCTGCCCATATAAACAGGGCTGGGAAAAGTTATTGGATATGCAACTTTGGGCTAGTACGTCTTTGTATTTATCTTTATTTTGCATCGCTAAACATTCGTTTGTTAAAATCCAACTAACTTAGTGCATCAGAACTTTCAGCTATTAGATAATATGAAAGTAAACCAAAATAAATCAAGGGTGTTACTGTCATCCATCTTCTAGTCATCTCGACGCCCAGCACAAAAAACGCTGGATGTACGCAAAGAACTCCAATAAATTACAGGAATTGAAAGTGAAAACATTAAATCTAATTCAATTACTGTATTGAGAAAAATGAAAATGCGCAAAGAAACATATGAGGAGCAAGATACAATTTAGGCTTCCTCAAACATTTTCTTCATCGTTGGCAGTGGCATCTTGACACTGCTGATATTCACTTACCAAATCATTCATATTTGATTCAGCCTCAGTAAATTCCATCTCATCCATCCCTTCACTGGTATACCAATGTAAAAACGCTTTACGACGGAACATGGCACTGAACTGTTCACAAATTCGTTTGAATAACACTTGCATTGCCGTACTATTACCAATAAAAGTCACCGACATCTTCAAACCACGAGGAGGAATGTCACATACTGCCGTCTTCACATTATTCGGAATCCACTCGACAAAATAACTCGAATTCTTATTCTGCACATTCAACATCTGCTCATCCACCTCCTTCATAGACATACGACCACGGAAGATCGCCGCCACTGTCAAGTAACGACCATGACGAGGATCACAGGCAGCCATCATATTCTTTGCATCGAACATTTGTTGTGTCAGTTCAGGCACAGTTAATGAGCGATACTGTTGACTGCCACGACTTGTCAGTGGAGCGAATCCTGGCATGAAGAAGTGCAGTCGAGGGAACGGGACCATATTCACTGCCAGTTTCCGCAGGTCAGCATTCAGTTGTCCAGGGAATCTGAGACAGGTGGTCACTCCAGACATGGTTGCACTGACCAAGTGATTGAGATCTCCATAAGTGGGGTTGGTTAACTTGAGTGTTCTGAAACAGATGTCATAGAGTGCTTCGTTGTCGATGCAGAACGTTTCATCAGTGTTCTCAACGAGTTGATGTACAGACAGTGTAGCATTGTATGGCTCGACAACAGCATCGGAGACTTAGAAAAAATGAAACAAGGTGAAGTTATTTTCCATCTTCTTTATCCCAATTTTAGTGGCCCGTGGATCAGACTCCATTTTAGATCGTACGAATGTTTGTTATCGCCTATTCTCGTATATAATCGTCGACTTAAATCACGTTAGCCAATAACGGAATTAAATGAGTCAAATAACGAGAATGGGGTTTTGAATACATATATTTTGTATATGAGATGAATGGAATAGAAGGAAGAGAAGAGACGCAGAGTGGAGATGGCTGGTAAGCCAACTCATTTTTAGCCAGGCGTTAATCAATATTTATGGGCAGACAAAAATAAGCTACAGACATGTGATGAATGGGATGGGAAGTGTACACACATGTGCGCTCATATGAAAACAATGAAGACTGGTAAGCGAATAACTAACAAGGTCAACATATGACTCAAGTAGATTGAATAGATTGGTTTGTCCGAAAACGAGGATAAGGCATATGGGCTTAAAATAATAACTGACACTACACAATACATACAGTTCTCTACACTGATGTCATGATTATATCTTGGAAGGTAGCCGCGTGAAATTACGATTGTTTCTGCGGAAACAAAACTCTAGAAGCCACACGTAATGAACTGAACGATTACTATCATAAGATAAACAGAAATGATACATTCCTGTTCTCGAACAAATCACAGCACAGTGGAAAAAGTAACCAATGGTTTGTTTTCAGGTAATCTCAAATAACTCACTGTTGAGAACTACTACAACTACCACACTATTAAAGTCTCACCAATGAAAGGTGCTTTGCTTATAATGCTTGTGACTTAAGGCAATATTGGGGCAATCCGTACAGGATGCACATATGCCAATAAGAGACTGATCAATTGCAATCCTAAACATTAATGGAAAGATCCAAACAAACAATTTAAAAATGAATTAGGAGGATACTTCGGTTGTTGAAGTTGTGTTTTCATAATATTGTTCAATTTAGAAATGCGTGATAAGTATGGTGGCTGTATTTTTTATGATTACGCTTCTACCCTAGATTTTACTATATGACCAATACTATTAAGCAAGTTTGAATATATACGTAGCTAGCTGTGACTTTGCACTTATTTATAAAATAAATTTGAAGTATTTCATCAGATAGTTTATCTCATTAAAGCTATCCAATACACTACAAGTTATATTACTTTTGTAGCATGAGACTCTCAGCTTGGGCAGTCTATTTACGTACTGATTTATAAAGTATGTACAACTGTCAAAATCAATCAAATAACGACTTAATACAATCTATACATAACTTGGCTTGAAAGTACCTACTTTGGGTGATGGGACTATAGAGAATGTATTTATAATCCTGTCAGGATATTCTTCTCGAATTTTTGAAATTAACAGCGTCCCCATACCTGAGCCGGTACCACCGCCAAGTGAATGAGTTAGTTGGAAACCTTGTAGACAATCACAAGACCCAGCTTCCTTTCTCACGCCTAAAATTGAGTCTACAAGTTCAGCACCTTCAGTATAGTGACCTTTGGCCCAGTTATTTCCCGCCTCACTTTGACCAAATACGAAATTGTCAGGATGGAACAATCGGCCGAAGGGCCCTGCGCGGACACTCTCCATCGTACCAGGTTCCAGATCAGCCAGGAGAGCACGAGAAACATACTTTCCTCCACTGACCTTATTAAAATAAACATTTATGTGTTCAAGTTGTAGGTCAGAATCACCGTGATATGTTCCTGTAGGGTCAATACCGTGCTCGTTCGATATTACTTCCCAGAACTGGAAATAAAATAGAGAGTTTAAAATGGGCACAAATTGATGAGTTAGTTAGAGGGAGCCATATGCCATATACCTTAGCGCCTATCTGGTTCCCACACTGACCAGACTGAACGTGCACAATTTCGCGCACAACGTCTAAAGACACAAACGATGAATGATCAGACTGATTAGTGGTTCGGATTGGCGTATTTATACCACTGCCTTGGATGGATTTAAGCAATGCAACAAATCAAAAAAGCATTAGTTTTCCTACCGTTATTTCTTAATTCCTATTGGTTAGTTTTGACGTGTCATGAGGACGAAGATGTATGTCTGCATATATTGCAGAAAAAATATCCTTGAGAATTTTTTGGTCGTGGTCGTTAAGATTGACTTCACGAACTTTCTCTAAATGATGATTGTTTCGGTACCTTACCACCGTTTGGAAGAGCATAGGATTCTCAGTTGGGAGTCCAACAAGTAATTCATAAAATTAAATCAAATCGGTTTGGAATATTCATAGTAGTGGACATATTTGTAGAATAACGAAGGGCTTTGGTTAGGTCAGCCCTTACTCCATTTTTGTTACACTGTATTTGGTAAACACAGTATTACAAAGCTTTTGTTACTCTCATTGTGTGGGTGATTTCAAATGACCTCTCACAACCGTAATTATCACAATGTTGAAATATCCGCTGATTGCCTTAAAAATATTATCATTATTATTAATGGTTTAATTCAATATTATGTTTTTGGTGCAATATAGGATTCTCAGTACAAATATTTTAACAAGCTTCCTTTTCTAAAAAGAAAAAAAGTGAAAGAAACTGATAACTGTATACAAATATGCGAAAGTTAAGTAAATTAACCACATATAATTAAATGAAATGTTTTTTTTAAAGATTTGAATCTGTACAACTTTTTGATTAGAAACATGTTCAAAAATACAAGTTATTGACTAGGTCAACTTTAACAATCTGTTCGTCACAGAGTATATTTGCTAGGTAAGGTATTGTACACCTTTTACGCTTTTGATTAGTTGTATGGATTCTACTGTATTGATGTCTCGTTCTACCAGAAGATATACAAGGAGAAAGATATGAATGAAGTGGATGGTTAGTATCGGATAAGGTAACTCCTGCCAAGAGTTTGCAAGACTTTAGATGTCTATTCAAAAACGCATTAATAGTGACTGTAAAAGATTCACCACACACCTTGTTAACTGCCTTCAGAACTCTCCACAAAGTCTTTTCTCAAAAGCCCGGGAAAAAAACAATAGAGAACAGTAAAGAATAGTAGGCAATATACATGAATTAACAAATCTTAAAAGTAAATGTTGAGTAATGTCAAAAGCATGTAGCCTGTTTATGCGGTAAGTCAGACGGAAAACTTCTTAAACGATAAAACATGAGAAGAACAAGAGAGATCAGAGGAAAAACTTATACTGAAATAAATAACCTTTGGCACTGTTTTTATTAAAGGACCTCTAGTAATACAATCTTTATGGGATTTCAGCAGGATGTTTAAGTGCTGTTTATGTCCAAGGTTAAAGTGTGAGGCGATTAACAACAGACCATTGGTCATTAAAAGGCAAGAACATATACATTTCAAGAGGGATTTGAAGAGGTAGAAATCGGTATAAATATAGTGAGATTTTCTGCATATTTGACAAACGCGTTTTCTGTGAAAGATGGCAGATCATGCAAAAAAGAGGAAAGAACAGTTTCTTGTGGCACACCATAAGTCAGTAGAAACTCTGAATACTTTCTTCTAAATACAGTGTACCGTTCTATTCCAGAGAGGGAGGAACACAGCTAGTTGTTTATCTAGCTGTCTGTTGACACTTATAAATATGTCAAGTAGTAACTGTCTTGGAATAGAGTCAAAGGCAGAATTATGGTCTAGAAATACTAATTGAACATACTTCTTACTCTTTTCCAAGCTCAACACAATATTATGATTCAGAATAACAACAGTATCTAAGGTGCTTCTTTTGCATTTGTCAGCAAACTGGTATGGGTCAATGTGCTCTTTTAGTGCAGATCAAAGTAGAAGTAGCAATTGTTTTTCCATTGTTTTAAGAAAAGGTGATGGTATACATTTTAAATTCAACGTTCCATGCAACAGTGTAAAATCCTGAATCAGATGTTCAGGAAAATAAGTGAGTAATGGCATAAAGTTTAGCATGAAGTTTGCAAATCCCAAACACGTAGACTCTTTATATAGTAATTTAGACGAAAAATTCGTCGGCACTGACAAATCATGAGAAGATTAAGAGAGATCGGAAGAGGAAGTTTCACAAAGATAAATTACATTTGACATCTCAGAAGCGAAAAGTCAACCATTTCTAGCAGAATTCTAACATTTTGACATATATAGGTAATGAGTATAAGACTATTCGAAAAGATCATTCAACGAATTGGAACTACTTTAAATTTCTTTCACGTATTCTGGGTAAAACTAGTCGAAAAAAAATGTCAAATAGATAACATAGGATACTATTATGCTACTTGAGAAGAAAGCTAGAAATGTCATCGGGTTCTAAACGCTGTGATAAATCAAGGGACTAGAGACACTTTAAAACAACATTTTCGGTAACATTTTAAGCGCAACTTCCCCTCGAGCTCAAGGAATTAGAAATCATGGTATCAGACAAATCCTTAATTCAGATCTCTCAGGTAAGCACTTAGTTATTAGGATAACTTTAATTTTCTGCCATGTAATTGGTGAAGCATAAGTTGGATTCTAAAAACATAATTTGAGTTGAGGGGTGTAGCTTTTCAACTAGCTTCTCATCATGGTTCAATAGGAATATTTATTTTCGCAATTAAACATGAAAAGCTTACTTACTTACTTAATCCTGTTACCCCTCGTGGGAGCATAGGCTGCTGACCAGGATTCTCTAATCCAATGTCCTGGGCTATCTTTCTCAGTTGTTTCTAAATGTTATTAATTATTTTCATGTCTTCCCCCAATTCTAAAAGCTACGTGTTCGTGTGTATGGAATAGAAGGACCAGGTCATCTACAAAGTCCAAATCGTCTAGTCTCATGTAAGATGTCCATTGCACTCCGTGTTTTCCCTCAGATGTGGAGGTCTTCATAATTCAGTCAACCATCAAAGGAAAGAGGAAGGTGGAGAGTAAGCAATCTTGTCTGAATCCGGTTCTCACTTGCAATGCATCTGTCAGCTGTCCTCCATGCACAACTTTGCAATGTAGTCGACCGTACGAATCCCGTATGATGTTGACAATCTTCTCATGTATACCATAGTGTCGAAGAACGTTCTTAAGCTTCTCCTATCCTCATTGTCAAACGTTTTTTTCATAGTCAGAGATGCTGATATATAGTGACGCGTTCCATTCAGTTGATTGCCCAACAATGATCCATAGTGTCGCGATTTGGTCTGTGCACGATCGATGCTTACGGTTCAGAAACACTGTTGAATACTTTTCCTGGTACTAACAGTAGTGTGACGCCTATGTGGTCTTCACATTTGTTCAGATCTCCTTTCTCTGGTATCTTGATGAGTTGTCCTTCTCTCCAGTCTGTTGGTGTCACTTGTTCTTCCTCTCAAACCTTCCTGAATAGAACGTGGAGTATGCTTGCAGTTACTTCTATGTCTGACTTCAGATCTTCAGCTGGTATATTGTCAGGTCCAACTGCTTTGCCACTCTTCATTTGTCCTATTGCCATACTGATTTCTTCGGTTGTTGATGGAGTGACATATATAGAAAATTGTTTTTGTGTGTGGTGCCTCGATTTTCGCTGGGTTCAATGGGGTTGACCTATTCAAGAGTTCTTCAATGTTGTTTATCCATTTGTTACGCTGTCCTTGAATCTCAGCGATTGATGTGTCTTCTTCACTCTTGACTGGTCGCTCTGCTTTACAATATTTCCGTGCAAGTTTCTTCGTTGTGTCATATAGGTGTTTCGCATTTCCTTCTGTTTCAGCTTTTTCCACTGTCTTTGCTATCTCTTCCACGTATTCCTGCTTGTCGGCTCTAACGCTCCTCTTCACTTTCTTGTTCGCTTCAGTGTATTCAACTTGTGCCTTGAGATTCTCTGTTTTTGTTCGGCTGTTGTTAATTGCTGTCTTCTTGTTGTTCCTCTCTTGAATTTTGTGCACGGTTTCGATAGAGATCACTTCGTTGTGATAATGCTTCTTGCGGCCCAGCACCTCCTGACACGTTGCTGTAAGTGCCTCTTTTATCCCTTTGCAGTTGTCCTCCATGGTAGCTTCTTCTTCTTTCAGTGGATCATGTAAGGTTTGTAACCTGTTGTTGAGAGTTATCTTGAATTCGTTGAATTTGTCGGTATCTCGTAGGATGGCTGAGTTGAACCTTTGTAATGCTGTTTGTCCAGTTGTGCATTGCTTCTCTAACATCGGTTTCACCTCATTGCACGCCTAACATAAGTGGGTCAACAGAACCAGATGAACTGACTAGTATACATCAGAGTTGAGGAGCTTGCCATCCTTATCCCCATATCTTTATTTGAAAAATTAATATTCGTTGGTTGAGGAATGAATGAACTAATCTGGGAACATGGAATGCTGTCAGTGAATATCCTAAACAACGTGTAACGATTTTCATTATGTTACCTTTATACTACAATTAAAGAAACAAAGGCTTTTTGGAGCTGTTTATAAATTCATTTAGGCTTTTTCTTTAGAGTCGTTTGTTAGGAAGTTTTATTTTTACACCATAGCACATGAATAGTTTTAAGTCCTTCCTAAATTGTCTCTTCATTACAGATACCTCTAGCGCTATAAACAAATTATTATAATAGGATAAAGCTCAAAACGAGTACGTTGGCCTAAAGCTGTTGGACCTTGATACCCACCTCTTTTTGTCGTTTTAATCCAATCATTTAATAAATAATAGCTAAGAAAGGAATGCTATGATTGTTTTTTCGTTTCATTGTAAAACTGACAGCTTGATAAATCATATGGAACTTGTCTAGTAAATTCAGTTTGTTATTTTTGTCTATGGACATATTATCTAC